TTACAAATCCCTCTCGAGTATTTTCAATGCAGTTTCAATAGTTTCACAGCTGCAAAGCCTTTCGACTTTGATTTCTATCAAGGTGAGCACATAAAAGCAAATTTTTATTTTATTTTTCTTAAATTTCAATCCTTTCTTCATCCACTTGCAAAATTTCAAGCCAGTCCTTCAATGTCGTTTTTTGAAGCTTGATTTTTTCCAAAATGACATTGAACTACATGTTACCTCACATCTTTGTTAATTTCAATCTGATCTTAACATAATTAGGCTTGAAATGAAGCCAATGAAATCCTTTACAAATCCCTCTCGAGTATTTTCAATGCAGTTTCAATAGTTTCACAGCTGCAAAGCCTTTCGACTTTGATTTCTATCAAGGTGAGCACATAAAAGCAAATTTTTATTTTATTTTTCGTAAATTTCAATCCTTTCTTCATCCACTTGCAAAATTTCAAGCCAGTCCTTCAAACATTTTCCCCAACAAAAAAAAAACACGTCCTTCAATTCAATGTCGTTTTTTGAAGCTTGATTTTTTCCAAAATGACATTGAACCAAATTTTACCTCTTCTCTTTGTTAATTTCAATCCAATCGTAACATAATTAGGCTTAAAATGAAACTAATCAAATCCTAAATATTGGACAAAGTCAACCTGAGGAAAAATAGAAAAAAAAAAACTACATAATTTACTTTTCCAATATTTTGCATAAATAATGACTTGTTAAACTAACATTTATTTTAATTAGTTAAATTTATTTATTTATTTATTAGCAATAGCAATAGTTACAATATAATTATAATTCTATGATATACAAATCGTAGACATATTATGTACTTGAGATAAAAATATTCAAATTTAATTTACTTAAAAATTTAATGCAATACCTACACATAGTTATATCAATCTTAATACAATTTCCTAATACTGCTAACATTATTAGATGCACAATGGTATTTATAATACTGTGTGTGCACCCCATTAAACTTAATTCATTTAAAATATTTTATTTTGAGGTTTGTACTTTCATTTAATATTTTAGGTTTTAATACAATTTAACAAATAACAATTTCAACATTTCAGATGTAATTTCTTTGTACAATAAATTTCTTCCTATCTTCAAATATACCAATAATTGTTTGTTTGTACTTTTTATATCACATAATTAATCCTATATCCACTATCAACAATCCATTTTGTTAAGGGTTTTTTAATTTTGCAATATGTTTTTTGTTTAAAGCTATCAGGTAAGTCATTGTAAACCTTTGGACCCACACAGTAAATGTGATTTTGACAGGCTGTGTGCTTGGGGTTCTGCAGTTCAACCTTTCCTTGAGTGGCACCTCTTGTATTTTGTCCGTGTTTTAAATTTTCTTTGTAGTAGTTGTTCTTTATCATGAATCTCAGGACTGATTTTAAATAAAGCTGTTCTATGGTTAGAACATTACTATCTTTGTGAGTAAGAGCTGTAGGATATCTTTTTTTCTTAAACAGCATAGTCTTTATAATCCATCTTTGAGATACCTGTAATTTTGATAGTGTTGTTGTGCCTGCACTCCCCCACAACACCAAACCATAGTTTATCATGGACTCCACTAACGCACAATAAATTGTCTTTAACGTTTTTAATGTAAGCATTTTTCTTAGTTCATAGAATTTGTGTATTAGTTTCCTTACTTTTGCAGTTATATACTCAACATGTTCTTTCCAAGTTAGTTTTTCATCCAAAATAACTCCAAGGTATCTTAGGCTAGACTTTCTTTTTATGATCATATCACACTCACAATGTAGGCCCAAATCACATTTTGAATCATGAACTTTGATGCACTCGAAATCCGGCAGTGAGCGAGAGGAAAGCGAAAAAGCCACAAAATTGGTTTTCTCTACATTAAGGGAAAGTAAACTTTCATCCAACCAGTTCTTAATTTTTTGTAATGCTTTTTCTGCCTTTAGCTTAGTAATTCCCCAGTCGTTACCACTTATTATAATACTTGTATCGTCAGCAAAGCAATAGGTATTAATATTCTCATCATCAAGCTGCTCCATTATGCCATTTATGTAAATGTTGAATAACAAAGTTGAGAGCACTGTACCTTGTGGCACACCAAATTCTACCTGCAATGCATTACTTTCTTGTCCAGAGACAACTGTGGTTTGTTTCCTCTCAGCCAGATACGACTTAATAAAGTTATTTGGAATACCCCTGACTCCCACACTCTCTAATCGTTTCAATAAAATTTGGTGCTCCACAGTGTCAAACGCTTTTCTCAAATCCAAAAAAACCCCTACCACTTTTTTCCCCTGATCTAGATTTTTAAGTATCTCTTCTGTAACCTTTACAAGAGCATTTTCAGTATTTGCATGATCCCTGAAAGCAAATTGATTTGAGTTGAGAAGGCAATTTTTCTCTAAAAAGGTGTTTAATTTTCTCCTAAAGCATTTCTCAATGATTTTACTCACTGTACTAGTCAAAGAAATTGGTCTATAGTTATTTAATAATTTTTTATCACCTTGCTTGTATAAGGGTATGATTTTAGTATTTTTCAATATATCAGGGAAAATACCAGCAGCAAATGATAGATTTGTTATGTGCTTAAGCGGAATGCTGAGATTTTCTTTAAAAGTTTTTATTACATTAGATGAAATAGCATCATTTCCACCCTTTACCCCATTCTTAAGGCTCATCACTTCTCTAATTATATCATCACTTGTCACAGGACTCAAAAAGAACGAGTTTTCACTCCTCCTCTCCCTCACACCATGATTCCGAGCGCCTCCAGTAATCTTTCCTGCCAAATGTTTTCCTATATTACAAAAATAAGAATTGAATTCATTCGCAATCTGTTTTTTGTTTGTTATTTCCGAATTTACCTGGTTATTAATTGCTTTTATTTCTGACCTACAGACCTGATCATTGGTGGCCTCCCTAATCACATTCCATAGTTTTTTTGAATCATTTAAATTTCTTTGAGCTAATAATTTGTAATAAGTATACTTTGAATTTTTTATTAACTTACCCAAAATTTTTCGATATTCTTGATACCTATTCAAAATTATAAAATTGTTGGGATTCAAGGTAGTTTCCTTTTTAAGGCGGTTTCTATTTCGAATTGACAATAAGAGCCCACCAGTGATCCAAGGCTTCAATTTCTTCTTCTTGTTTGGTATTGTTTTTATAATTGTTGATTCCATAATCATATTTTTTAATTTGTTCACAAATATATTTGTACACAGTTCTACATTATTCTCCTGCAAAACCTCACCCCACCGCTCACCCTCAATTTTTTTTGCCAGAATTTTATGATTTATTGATTTGTAAGTATTATTATTATCTAAGTTGTTAAAGGATGTTTGTAACTGAATGTTAAGCAGAATGGGGTGATGATCAGTGAGATCATTTTCCAAAATCACAGCCCTAATATTGCTAAGAAGGTCACTCTTACATTTAATAAAAAAGTGATCTAAACAGGTACCTCCATTTTCAGTAACTCTTGTGGGTTTATTTATTGCACTTACAAAACCATGCCCCTGTAATAAAGTCAAGTAGTTATTTGTCGAGTCAGATTCCTTAGATAACAGATCTATATTAATGTCACCAGCAAACACATACACTCTGTTTTGATCCATGCTTGATTGCTGCAGTAGTCTTTCCACATTTTCAATAAGTTCTTCTTTTGTAACGGCAAAACATCTGTATGTAGCAAGGATCTCCACAAATTTTTGGTTTTTTTGGAGTGTGACTTTGATAATTTTTAACTTATTATCTTGGATTATCCTATCTTCAATGTGGAGGTCACTTTTGACATAGATTATGCACCCATCACATCGGTTAAGACTACTTTCATTGAAGAACAATCTGTAGCCAGGTATGTTAAAGTCATTTGTGCAGTACACATTGTGGGTTTCCGACATAATTATAACATCAAAGGACTTACCTAGTGATTCAAGGAACACCAAAAATTGATCGAAATTTTGGTATATACTACGTATGTTGACATGCATAATATTAATATCACTTGCTTTATTGTCAAAGTAGTTTATTTGGCATAAGCTGTCACATTCCCTTGTTTCCAGGATATTATTATAATCATCCAGAATATCATTCAGCTCCATGAATGCAAAATTAGTTTATTTAGGGTTGTATTACTGATTTATATGATTTATTGGAGTTTTTCAAGATCGGAGTCGCATCTTATTTTAAGGGCCTGGTCAGTTTCGTTAATTTTAAGAAAAATTGTTCCATTGATATAGAAGGCTGCCTTATAGTTTTTTTGTTTCCTTAAATCCCTTGTTTTTTTGAAAAGCATCCTTTTTGCCACTGGCATGTCCTCATTAAAGAATATTTTTTTGTCATCCCCGTCCAAGCCACATTGCTTTGTAGATATACCTTTTATGTCCTTTATTCTCCTAAGTACATCCTTTTTAGCTTGCTCATTGTTCATTTTCAGTAAGATTGGCCCTTCTCCTTGTTTATCCACCCTGAAACACTCCAAAATTTCACTATTTGCCGTTTGCAGTTGCATGGCTACAAAAATCTTTTTAATAGTTCCTACTGTGTCTAGCCTGGTTTGTTTTGGGACCCCTGCAACTATCAGGTTTTTAGATTTTTCAGTGACCTCAAAAGCATCCATTCGGCCTTCCAACGACTGCAGCCGCTTCTTCAACTCCTCGTTTTCCTTTTTAAGGACTTGATTTTCCATCAGAGCGCCCTCGAACACTCGCTTTTGGTCCTCGAAAGCATCAGACATAAATTGAATTGAGGCCCCAAATTCAGTAATTTTTTTATCAATTTTCTGCTCAAATGGGCCCAGGTAGCTTTTAAATGATTCCTTAATAATCTCCCTAAGCCTTTTTTCGTCCATTTCCAAACAATTGTCCGATTTTTCGCTGTTTTTTCGTGTTGTGCTTGGTGGTCTAACCTCACTCTTGCCAATATCACAAAATGTAACGACATATCCTTTAATTACTAATACTTTTTAAAGCAAGTCATATCTCTTATCTCAAAGTAGACTTAATACGTTAGTTTTAAAAATTCTTATCTAAAACAACTGAAATCCTCATTAATTTTCAGGTAATGATTCTGAAGATTACGACACCAAAATGGCAATCAAAGACCTCCTGTCGGTAATCAAAAAATTCCCGCACCACTTCAACGAAACCACAATGTTCAAGGGCACCAAAGAAGCGGAAAAACTCAAAGAAGAATTCCGACGACATTTCCGCAACATCACAAGAATCATGGATTGCGTGGGTTGCGACAAATGTAGACTCTGGGGCAAATTGCAGACGCAAGGCTTGGGCACGGCTTTGAAAATTTTGTTTAGTGGTCAATTTGATTATGATACTGCAGGGAATTTGGTTAATAAAAACGAGATGCATTTGCAAAGAAATGAGATTGTGTCTTTGCTGAATGCAATTGGGAGATTATCTACTAGTATTTATAAGTTGGACGATTTTAGGCAAATAATAAGCTAATATTCGATTGATGGGTATAGGTTTGTTGTATGGACTTTGTTAGTGAAATTTGTGCTGATTGTTTATTTTAGCTGTGCTAGGTACTAAAAATAAAATGGATTATCCATGACACTAATTTATTGTTAGGCATTAGAAAACTTAAAGCATATCCACCAATAATTAGAAGTTGGTGTTAATTGGGTAGCTCTTTTAGAGAGTGATATCGCATTTAATTGTACTGTGATGTGTATTTTTTTTTTTAATTAACTTATTTATTGTATACTTAGTGAAAATATGTGTGTAACTTTTTTTCTTTGGTGATTGGATTGGAACATTTCATTTTTGTGTTTTGGAAATAAATTGTTTATATTCTTGTTAAATAATTTATGGACTTTTTTCTATCCTCGCAGCAACATTAATTCCTATTCCAGTCAATAAAAGACAGCTGGGACTGAAAATTCATAACTCAAGTTTCAATGTCACTTTGCACAACTGAAAACTTGATTTTTTTTTTTAAGATTCAATACAAATAAAGATGGATATCTCAGCTTGGACGAACTCAAGCGTATGATGGAAGTTCTTGGAGCTCCGCAAACTCACATCGGCTTAAAGCAAATGATCAAAGAGGTATTTATATAATTAATAGAAAACTATAAAGTAAATTATTTAAAACTTTTTTTCTATAGGTTGATGAAGATAACGATGGTCGTCTTTCCTTTCATGAATTTATGTTAGTGTTTCGCAAAGCTAGAGCCGGCGAATTGGACGAAGATTCTGGATTGGGACAATTGGCCCGTTTAGCTGAAATTGATGTAGACAAAGTTGGAGTGAATGGAGCTAAAGATTTTTTCGAAGCAAAGGTTTGTTGTTTCTTTACCTATTATAAACATATTACAATCATTTTTGTTTAGATTAATGAATTGAGCAAGAAGAGCAAATTTGAAGAAGAGATCCGGCAAGAACAAGATGAAAGAAAACAAATGGAAGAAGAAAAAGCCTTGCGACGTCAACAGTTTTTGGAAAAAGCTTCTATTTTTAAATGTGCTTAAGTAAATAATTATTATAGTTAAGAGTTTTCATAGTTACCTATAATATCTTAGAATTAGGATCATATTTTTTGACTGACTATTTTTTTTTTCCTGTTTTCATTATTTGTATTAAAATTATTCAATTAACCTCCTATAAGGAAATTAATAATTGTATGTGATAAAAATAGCCTAATAGGAATGCAAGAGGTATTATTTTATTAAAAGACTTAGTAAGAATTATACTGCATTTTTTTAATTTCAAATAAATCCTTAAATTATTCTCACATTAACCATTATTATGAAATAATAAACATTACAATAATATTCTAATTTGTACTATAAAATAAAGGAACAAAAACCCAAAACTCTCATTTAGATAGCTGATAACAAAATAACAAAATAGGTACCTACTGAAAAATCAGGAAAAATATCAATACTTCATTTTATCATCTTTTTCCAAATTGTTAACAAACCTCTCAAGTAATTCAATGTGCTGTGTCAGACTTGTTTTTTGGTAATCATTAAGCCCTAGAGGTAAAGTATCCTCTCGTTCATCATAAGTTTTCAATTCTTCAATGACTTTACTAAAAAGTAAAAAAAGATTCACCTCAACAAAATCAATCAAATGTTGATTTACTCCTCACCTAAGAGTGGGAACTTTCTCTAAATCAAAATCATCCACTTTTTCAGCTTCGAAAGGAATACAAATTTTTTCAGTTTTAGGATGAACACAAAACGGAGTTTTCAGTAAATGGTCAAGGCTTCTCGTTACGTGCACATCTAATCGAGGATAAGTGTATTGCAGCTTAATTTCTTCTTTAAGGGTTTTTAAATCATCTGACTCTTGCAACTCCGTAAAAGTCTGTTCAAATGCTTCCCATCTTTCAACAGAGCATTTTACAGCTGTCATGCTTTTTTGAAATTGCTTTCTAACACCCTTATCAATCATATCTAAAAACTTCCTAAGCCTCAAATCAGTACCAAGTAAGTCTTGTTCTTCAAGAATGTCCATAAAATATTCATCAATTATTTTTATTGCACGCTCATAAATTTTTTTATGTATACGTCCCGTTAAAACAACTTTCTTGGTTTTATTGCCGTCCTTAAGTAAATTGAAATACTCAGTCATGGCTGATCTTACTTCATTGGTTAATTCTCTTGCGTGTCTGTCAGCAACCCAGCAATGTATACCTCGCCTTCCCGAAAATACCCATAAAATGTGCTCGTAGTTGAAATCTTCTTTCAAAACAGCAGAAATAATTTTGGTGGCGATTGCCATGAATTTCCAGCATTTGTTGCAAATTCCAGCCCCGTTACAGCAGGTTCGGACATCGTCGTAATCTGAAATATCGATGTCGAATACCAAGTCTTTTCTTGTTGCAGTTAATTCGAATCCTAAAGCTTTGATTTTCGGTTTGGTTTTGTATATGGCACCGATATCGATTTTGACTGGGGCTTTTTTTTTGATTTCATTGAAGAATTCCTCGAAGGAGTCAAAGGATTGATAACGGATGTAAACATCGTTGCTGAGGGTGAAGGAAATTTCTCGTTTGGCAAAAATTTCGGGATTACCTAAATTTTACACATTGTTGTATATCCATAACCATCTATAGAGCAATTAGGTCTGTTTCTGCAGAAATCACAAACCAATTAGAGTGAATTTCATTGGTTAAAAACAGTCAGAAAACTAGTTTCAACCAATGAAATTCACTCTGACTGGTTTGTGATTTCTGCAGAAACAGACCTACTAATACAGGGTTGTCCGCCTAATATATTAGAAAAATGTATGTACAATATTTCCTACTTGGCTCTTATTCTCAAAGGTCGGCTAAAAGGGATACCGGATGACCTCCCAGAGTAAGTAGCCTTATCCAGACCACATATTCAAAAAACCTCTAGGTCCTAAAATATGTGCATTTTAGGTTTTTTAGTTTTTTTAAAAATAAAAAAAAAACATTATACCACCACACTGTACTATTTATCTACCTAATATTGTTAACTACTTCTTTCCAGAATTCTATATCTATGTTTTATTTATTGGCTTAGCTAGCATTATGTGAATAATTTGATATACCTACATCTAGTGTTGCCAGGTCTACTGATTTATCAGTAGATCTACTGATTTTGGCCACTGAGTCTACTGATATACTGATATCAATGTAAATTCTACTGATAAAAGCTGTTGTCATTGTTTACCTGCTTTTTATGATACTTTTTAAATTAAAATCTTGTATGAGAATGTCACAGCAATAATTTCATACGCGACATTTGTTGTTGGTTAGTCAATTAGTCACATAGCGTTATGCTGTACAACTATAACTACAGCCTATTTTACCTGTTTTTATAAGACTAAACTACTGCATAGGTACTCCCATTTGAAAAAAGCTGAAAACATGCAACATATGACATTTCTGACATTCAATTTTGGTTTCTGACCATGGTTTCTAAACAAAACTGTACAACTGTTGTATTTACACCCCTTTCATCTACTTGTAAAGGTGAAGGCTGTAGGTGGGGTGTCAATACATAAAAAAACCACTCTGTATTTGAACAATAACTTATTATATTATAAAGTCAGAATTTGCAAGATTATCCAGTTTTTGTCAATTCATTTTTCAACAGGAATTAGGAAATATATGTTACTTCACCAAAATAGTAATACTTATATTGTGACAAGTTATTCAAGTACAAATGAGTGAATTGTTGCGGAACTGATCGGTGGACCTCTGCGGGACGAGCGCAGCGAGTTCCGCAGCCATCTACTCACCAATATACTGCTGAACTGTTCAAGTAAGACATTCACCTGAACCATGTAGTTTTTAAACTAATGAGAATAACTGACATTTGAGAGGGTCAGGTACGTTAATATCGTGATTAAACAACATATTGATAAATAGATGGCTGCGGAACTCGCTGCGCTCGTCCCGCAGAGGTCCACCCATAAATTCCGCAACAATTCACTCATTTGTACTTAAATAACTTGTCACAATATATCACTAGTTTGGTAAAGTAACTTTACTAATTCCTGTCGGAAATGAATTGACAAAAAGTGGATAATCTTACAAATTCGGACTTTATATAATAAGTTATTGTTCAAGTACAAAATAAGTGGATTATTGTGGAACTTATCGGTGGACCTCTGTAGGACGAGCGCAATGAGTTCCGCAGTCATTCACTCACCAATATACTGTTGAACTGTTCAAGTAAGACATTTACCTGAAACATGTAGTTTTTAAACCAATGAAAATAACTCACATTTGAGCGAGTCAGGTTAATATTGTAATTGAATAACATATTGATGAATAGATGGCTGCGGAACTCGCTGCGCTCGTCCCGCAGAGGTCCACTTATAAGTTCCGCAATAATCCACTCGTTTGTACTTGAATAACTTGTCATATTATATTACTAGTTTGATACAGTAAAAAATTACTAATTTCTGCTGAAAGGCAAATTGACAAAAAGTGAATAATTATAGTCTCACAAATTTTGACTTTATCTAATAAGTTATTGTTCAAGTATAAATAAGTGGATTGTTCGCGGAACTTATGGGTGGACCTCTGCGGGACGAGCGCAGCGAGTTCCGCAGCCATCTACTCACCAATATACTGCAAGTAAGTCATTCACCTGAATCATGTAGTTTTTAAACTAATGAGAATAACTCACATTTGAGTAAATCAGGTTAGTATCGTAATTAAACAACATAATGATGAATAGATGGCTGCGGAACTCGCTGCGCTCGTCTCGCAGAGGTTCACCTATAGGTTCCGCAATAATCCACCTATTTGTACAGGGTGTTTTTTTATATATTGACACTCCACCTACCTCCTTTACCTATACAGGTAGAAAAAAGGTGTAAATACAAAAGTTGTACAGTTTTGGCTGAATTTTTAGAAATGATGGTCAGAAACAAAATTTGAATGTCAGAAATGTGAAATTTTGCAAGCTTCCAGCTTTTTTCAAATGGAATGCCCTCCCTATATTTCATTTCATATTTTTGAAGAGCACAATGCCCCGATTCCAAAAATATATAGTTTGTCTATATTTAATTAAACAGTTTCTTATATATTCGGCTCCAAAAATTGTAAAAATACTATCCTACTACTAATTTTGTGAAGCATTCTACCTGTAAAGGTGAAAGCTGCAGGTAAAATTTGAGGTAGGTAGGTTCTTGGTTTCTCTGATAGTATTTTTAAAATTTTTAGAACTAATTAAATATGTTGGAGCCGGCTCAACCAAATATAGACAAACTATAGTTTTGGAATCGGGAAATTGTACACCTCAAGAATATAGAACTAAATAATTGGTGTTTGATTTTCTAATGCAAGTTTTCATAGTCTAATACACAATCTAAAGATTTGATGATTTGAAAAAACGTAGTTAAAATAAATAATTCAGTATACTTAAATGGTTCAATTTCGAGTTGACCCCTTTAAGGGCCAAATTCAGTGTTACCAGATTGGGGGATTTTCCCCCAAATTTGGGGGATTTTCAAGTCGATGGGGGAAAATCTGGGGGATAGTTTTTTCTGGGGGATTTTTTGGGGGTAAGAATTTTCGCTATTGGGGGAAATTGGGTATATTTCAATGAATAAAACTAAAGTAAAAAATGTATTAAAACAACTGCGCCATCTATTTTTTCAATCAAGTTCCAATAAAAATGATACAGTTTGCTTCTTCTCGAGAGGAACGCAAACGCTCAGTTCTAGATCTATTTTAATTTGTAATGACAAATGACTTGACAAATCAGATCGGGGGAATCCCCAACGACCGACGTTGCTTGCATTGTTTATTTTTTATTTTGCGTTTTACATTTCTTTGCGGTTATAGTGCGTAGTGCTCTAAGTTGCTGTATTCTAAATTTTAATACAGCTTAATAATATAATAATAAACTATCCAAACTTCTTGGTACAACTGTCATCTGTTCTGTCACCAGTCACAACATTTTATTGCATTTGTCATTTGTCAATTGTCATTTTATTTTTGGGATTAGAAAAATATAAACAAATAAAAAAGTGGTAAGGGTATTAGTTTTATTTTAAAATATTTAACGAATTTGTCTTTTTTTTTTTTTTGCAAGTATGAGTCGAGAATAAATCTATATTTATTTATTTGGGGGATTTTAGTTGACAAACAGTGATTTTTGGGGTATTTTTGAAATCCTTTGGGGGAAATTAGTTATAACCATCTGGCAACCCTGGCCAAATTATAAACCAACTGGTAAGTGTCTGGTTGTTACCTAGCAGGTACTGTCTATTTTCTAGTGCATAGAAAGTACCTGCTAGGTAATAACCTGACGTTTACCAGTCAGACCAACTGGTAAGTGTCTGGTTGTTACCTAGCAGGTACTTTTTATGCTCTAGATAAAAGAAAGAACCTGCTAGGTAACAACCAGACACTTACCAGTTGGTCCATAATTTGGCCCTAACAAGGTAATTTATCTGCCTAACGATTTCTACTGGATATTTTGATGATATATATGATTTGGTAATCTACTGGCAAAACAAAATATGACCTGGCTATACCTACTACCTACATCACCAATAATGTGTTACAACCACTGGTTACAACTGTATACTAAAAAAAAACCTAAAAAACCTTAAAAAAACCTCAAGAAACCTTAAAAAACCTAAAACACCCCAAAAACCTCTAAAAACCTAAAAACCTGAAATTATTTTTGCTTAATCGGTTTTTTCCAACCCTGAAAAACTCTTCTCTATCTTGAAACATGACAACACAGCTTTTTTTGTTGAAATGCAAGGGGGAAATACCTTACCTTCCGTTTCATGTTTCAATCATTGGTTGAAACCTTCAACGGTTGAAACTAGTTTTCCGACTGTTTCTGACTGTTTTCAACCATTATTCAATTAAATTCGCTCCGACTGGTTTATGATTTCTGCAGAAACGATGCTGAGACTAATTACAAAACAGTAAGCTTGGCAACATTGCAATCCCCAAAAACCCCCGGGGTAGAAAAAATACTGTAAAGGCTGTTTTTTTTTAAAGATAATTCCCCGAGTGAAAAATCTAAAAAACACACCTTACATTATTTTTATAGGCGCGTTTTGAAATAATAAGCAGTTCCAGTTCCAATACATAATGACAACCCTGTATATAAAATATAAATGAGAAAAATACTTACCATAGCCAAACCATTCATATAACTTAGGTAAAGGCATCAATTTTGTATAATATGGAACTATATTTTTTAGATATTCTTCAGTAAATGCAGGCTCGTTATCAGAACAACAAGCCGAAGCCATATTTATTTAAAATTAATGAGATATTGGAGAAAATTAAACTTTTGAATTGGCGCCAAAAAAAAAAAAACAAAAAGCCGAGACTTTTGAGGTTATGGTCTTCAGTCTTCTTCTCTTCTTTTTCAAAATATGTCCGCTTTCTTGACTCTAGAACCTTTTTTTGACTCCATCCAATTCAATTCCGTGTTGAATCGACGAACCTAACCACAGAGTAGGTCTAGCAGATGTAAATGAAAACCCCTCTTCATAAATATGTGTTTGTTCCAACTAGTTCATAGAGTCAGTTCTGTGTTGCACTGTTCTAATTTGTAATGATGTATGTATTGCAAACCAAATCTGGAACAGCATTTCGAAATCGCTATTTATGACTGTCACTTGTGAAAACATTTCCTACATCGCTTGCGTACGGTATTTTGCTCAAAGAGCAGAGCGTGCTGAGCGGAGCCGTAATCACGTGACCAGCGAGCAAACAGAGCAGTTGAACTGTCCGTGCGTTCGTTATTTTGGTCTGAGTTCTCCGAGCATGACTTTACCGTTCGTTTATTCAAAAAGTGTACTCGGTGCAGCCTCATTCGCGTTCGTTTATTAAAATTTCTGGCACTTTTATTTAGCGTACAACTGCTCTGTTCCCTCGCTGGTCACGTGATTACGACTCCGCTCAGCACGCTCTGCTCTTCGAGCAAAATACCGAACGCAAGGGCTGTATCCGAGTGCCCGAAACATTTTATTATATTAAACGAAGGCAAATGAGCCTGCTCCGAGCACACTTTTTGAATAAACGAACAGTAAATTCAAGCTCGGATCAGAATACCGTACGCATGGATCGAATGCCAAGAAATTGAAAGTAAAACAACTTTATATCATGAGTTAAAGAAGGATAAACATATAATCTACTTGGTTTGGATCCTCAAACTTAAAAATATCAAAAATCAAAAATCCCCTGACGGGTCATCCAAGGAAAGTTACTAAACTTGAAAAAAAGTAAACTTTTTCAATTTTTTTATTGCTTTTTATGGTCACATTCAAAATAATTAGGAATTTATTTGAAAAAACTGGAAATATATTGAATTAAAAAAAAATCTGGCTCGTGTTTGTGCAAGTTTTACCAAAAAAACTACATTTTGTCTGCTTGAAGGACTTGAATCCACCACATGTAAATAAAAACTATTTTAAATTAAAAAATTATAGTTATTTGAAGAAAAATTGAAATGGCTGGACGCAAACATCGACCCGCACTTAAAATTATGGTTCAAGACGAACCAGCCCCTGTGTAAGTAAATCTGGATATTTTGCTTTTTCATTCATTGACTCTCCTTTTCCAGAGTACCTCCTGGCAATCTAGACTCACGTACAACAATTACAATTGGCGACAAAACGTTTGATGTAGAGGCTGACGATTTAGAAAAAATCTATGAACTAGGCAGAGGGGCTTACGGTGTAGTGGAAAAAATGAGGCACATTCCTAGTGGAACTATTATGGCTGTGAAGGTAACTACAATTGAATCACTAAGGCTGTATTTTCATAAATTGTCCCATAGCGTATAGCAGCTACAGTGAACACTCAAGAACAAAAACGCCTGTTTATGGATCTGGATATATCCATGAGAAGCAGTGATTGTCCTTATACTGTCCAATTTTATGGTGCTTTGTTTAGAGAGGGCGACGTGTGGATTTGTATGGAGGTGATGGACACTAGTCTGGATAAATTCTATTCCAAAGCTTATAAAAATGGACACAAAATACCAGAACATGTATTGGGTAAAATCACTTTTGCTGTTGTCAGCGCCCTCCACTACTTGTATTCGCAACTGAAAGTAATTCACAGAGACGTAAAACCCTCAAACATTCTTATAAATAGGCAAGGTGATGTAAAAATGTGTGATTTTGGTATTAGTGGGCACTTGGTGGACTCTGTAGCTAAAACCATTGATGCTGGATGTAAACCTTATATGGCTGTAAGCATTATAATATTTTTATTATTAATCAATTTCACTAAAAATATTTCAGCCAGAAAGAATAGATCCTCAAGGTAATCCTTCTCAATATGACATAAGATCTGATGTATGGTCTTTAGGCATTTCCTTATTAGAACTAGCAACTGGTAATTTTCCTTATCCAAAATGGGGCACTCCATTTGAACAGCTCAAACAAGTAGTGGCAGAAGATCCGCCCAGATTGCCTTTGGATGGGCAATTTTCTACAGAGTTTGAAGACTTTATTTCTAGATGTTTGCAGAAAAAATATACTGATAGGTAAGAAGCCTGATGAATGTTATACTTTTTGCTAAATTTCAAATTCTAGATTCAACTACAGTCAATTGCTCCAACACGAATTCCTAACAAAACATGCTAATTTAAACACAAACATTTCTAGCTTTATTGGAGAGATTTTAGACTTGCCTGATACGAATCCCTGAGATTCATGTACAATTTCTTAGATTTTACCATCACTTTGTGTAGTATAAAAATTAATTTTGGCTTTAATCAGGATGCTCAGCTGTAGTATCCAATAAAAATTATGTGTACATAATGTGAGTGATTGGTGCAAGACAATAATTGATATTACATATTACTTGTTCATTTCTTAGAGTTTTACCTCAAAAATGATTCCTCCTGGAACAGTCATACAATTTTTAATCAATAAGAACAGTTTTAGAAAACTATATTAAATTTGTCTTGTTTCAATAACTTATCAAATGAGAAAGTTTTGGGCGATACCTCGCTCACTTACCAGTCGTAGAGAACAAGTAGTAAAACAAAACTAATTGTCTAATAATTATTATAGAAAAAGAAAAAAATATTTCAATGTTTATTTGTATATATTGAAGAAAATTTGTGACTTATGACAGATTTGTTTTGGTTTCAATCAATCCTCTGAGCAAGAAATCACAAACTATGTATTGTTTGCCCAGCGGATCTAAGTCTACGGCAGGAATTCGGATGTAAATGCGCCATATTGCCACGTTTAATTATAAAAAAGCGAAAATACTAGACATGAAGTATAGTTCATTTGAAAATCCATTTTTTAATAACAAAATATTGATAACAATAATAAAACGCTAAATATTTTAACGCGGTTGTTAGATCTATTCTTATTTCTCCTGATTTCTTCAATTTGATCTATTGTAAAAAATAAACATTTTCTAAATATACCATCCACTTTTGACAATTTGGCAAGCATCCGGCCTGGATGAACCCGATTGGTGGAGTTTTTGGCAGGATCGCCGTTGCCATGGGAAACCATAAGGTTGTCAATGAGTCAACGTCACCTTATGTCTCACTATTGGCCAGGCCTGACGTCATTTTATCCTCCCATCTTGGAATATCAATTTATATTGAAATATCCAGTGGCGGAGGTTTGGTCATTGTCAATTTTCGTGTACGAGTTGCAATACGATAACACTTCCAAAAAGTTCCGCACGCAGCTGGGTATTTTATGAATGAAATCAGCCATTTTTTTTACAACTGCATTCCCCTTACCGTTGCCCCGTAAACACAGACTCGCGCAATTTTGAGTTCATTTACAACCAAAACAAATCTTATTGGCCTACATTAGAGTCCAAAAATAATTAATTTTTCAAATAGGAAAAACCAAATTAAAAGATAATATTTATCTAACTAAGGCCCGATTTATTTATCTTTAGATAAATTTATTGGTAACTATCTGCAAGATAAATTTACTGTTCTATAATCGGCAAATAACTGACCGAACAATGTGATTGCAGATTGCGTTTTTATCCATCAGATTGCATACCTGACAGTTTATCAGAAGGTAAATAAAATGGCACTAAAATATAATTTAAGTTCAATTTAATTAAAAACAAAATTGCGTCCCAAGTTGTGTTGAGTGTTAATTTAGAAATAACAATTTTAATTTTTTAGAAGTGTGATGAAAATAAATTCTAGCAATTTTATGGTTTTAAAAATCTGTTTTATTCAAAAGCTGAACATTATTTTTTGGGTAAAATGTACAAAAGTTCCTACGAGGTTTTCAGGAATGCCCGATTCAATGATGGTATTCGCGATGAAACTTAAATGATGTAGATAGTCATATTTTTTCTATCCCAGGCTCTTGAATTTTATTTTTTTTTAAACAAATTCAATAGCTGGTAATGGACAAAAATTGAACTGGAAAAATTTGGTAAAATTAAGCAAAAATGCATCATCATACATTTTAATATTTTTCTGGACAACTACTAAAAGAAAAATTGTGAACGTTACAGGGATAAAAGAGGACAGTTTATTAACTTACCACATTTAAATTAAGCAAAAATGCACCATCATACATTTTACCATTTCTCTGAAAAACTACTAAGGGGAAAATTGGGAAAGTTTCAGGAGAAAAAGAGGAAAGTTAGAACTCATCATACTAGAATTTGAAACCTTTCCAGTGAAAAATAACACAATGGGAAATAAATGAAAATAAACTTACAAAATTTAAATTAAGCAAAAATACACTGTCATACATTTTACCATTTTTCTGGAGAACTACTAAGGGGCAAATTGAGAAACTTCAAGGGGAAAAAGAGGAAAGTTAGGAGCTTATCAGACTAAAATTTCAAACTTTTCTAGTGAAAAATACTGAAATGGAAAATTAAGGAAAATTAACTTACAAAATTTAAAATAAGCAAAAATGCACCATCATAGATTTTACCATTTCTCTGGAAAACTACTAAGGGGCAAATTGAGAAGCTTTTAGGGGAAAAAGAGGAAAGTTAGGAGCTCATCATACTAAAATTTCAAATTTTTCCAGTGAAGAATACCAAAATCCCAAAATGGGAAATTAATAAATTTACTTTATCTCATTTTGATGTTTAAAAATGACATTATTGAACGCATAACAATAAAGGTAAGTAGACGTTTATCACCTCAGTGATTTAAAAACATTTTAACTCACTCTCGGCATTTTAATTAAGTCACTCTGCTCAACCAAAAATCTGAAACATCAGTGATTTAAAATATTTTTAACTCACTCCCGGCATTTTTCCTCCTACTTTATTTTTAAAATTTCCACAAAATGGGATAAAATTTTGTATACATCACTTTAGTTAAAATGTTTATTCATTCGAAGAAAATTAACCCAGTCGCTAGGGCTCGTGGGTTAAACTTTTTTCTCATGAATAAAAATTCATTTAACTCACTTGGTGTATAAATAACTATTAAATTAAGCAAAAATGCACCATCATAAATTTTACCATTTCTCTGGAAAACTACTAAGGGGAAAATTGGGAAAGTTTCAGGAGAAAAAGAGGAAAGTTAGAACTCATCATACTAGAATTTGAAACCTTTCCAGTGAAAAATAACACAATGGGAAATAAATGAAAATTAACTTACAAAATTTAAATTAAGCAAAAATGCACCATCATACATTTCACCGTTTCTCTGGAAAACTACTTAGGGGAAAATTGGGAAACTTCAAGGGGAAAAAGAGGAAAGTTAAGAGCTTATCAGACTAAAATTTCAAACTTTTCTAGTGAAAAATACTGAAATGGAAAATTAAGGAAAATTAACTTACAAAATTTAAAATAAGCAAAAATGCACCATCATAAATTTTACCATTTCTCTGGAAAACTACTAAGGGGAAAATTGGGAAAGTTTCAGGAGAAAAAGAGGAAAGTTAGAACTCATCATACTAGAGTTTGAAACCTTTCCAGTGAAAAATAACACAATGGGAAATAAATGAAAATTAACTTACAAAATTTAAATTAAGCAAAAATGCACCATCATACATTTCACCGTTTCTCTGGAAAACTACTTAGGGGAAAATTGGGAAACTTCAAGGGGAAAAAGAGGAAAGTTAGGAGCTTATCAGACTAAAATTTCAAACTTTTCTAGTGAAAAATACTGAAATGGAAAATTAAGGAAAATTAACTTACAAAATTTAAAATAAGCAAAAATGCACCATCATACATTTTACCATTTCTCTGGAAAACTACTAAGGGGCAAATTGAGAAGCTTTTAGGAGAAAAAGAGGAAAGTTAGAAGCTCATTATACTAAAATTTCAAACTTTTCCAGTGAAGAATACCAAAATCCCAAAATGGGAAATTAATATAAATTTACTTTAAATTAAGCAAAAACGCACCATCATATATTTTACCACTTCTCTGGAAAACTATTAAGGGGCAAATTGAGAAACTTTTAGGGGAAAAAGAGGAAACTTGGGAGCTCATCATACTAAAATTCCAAACTTTTCCAGTGAAGAATACCAAAATCCTAAATTGGGAAATTAATAAATTTACTTTATCTCATTTTGACGTTTAAAAATGACATTATTGAACGCATAACAATAAAGGTAAGTAGACGTTTATCACCTCAGTGATTTAAAAACATTTTAACTCACTCCTGGCATTTTTCCTCCTACTTTATTTTTAAAATTTCCACAAAATGGGATAAAATTTTGTATACATCACGTTTGTTAAAATGTTTATTCATTCGAAGAAAATTAACCCACTCGCTAGGGCTCGTGGGTTAAACTTTCTTCTCATGAATAAAAATTCATTTAACTCACTTGGTGTATAAATAACTATTAAATTAAGCAAAAATGCACCATCATACATTTTACCACTTCTCTGGAAAACTACTAAGGGGCAAATTGAGAAACTTTTAGGGGAAAAAGAGGAAAGTTGGGAGCTCATCATACTAAAATTTCAAACTTTTCCAGTGAAAAATACCAAAATCCCAAAATGGGAAATTAATGAAAATTTATTTTAAATTAAGCAAAAATGCACCATCATACATTTTACCATTTCTCTGGAAAACTACCGAGGAGAAAATTATGAAACTTTCAGGAAAAAAAGAGAAAAGTTAGAAGCTCATTATATCAAAATTTCATACTTTTCCAATGAAAAATACCAACATGGAAATTTTTAGAAGTATATATAATAAAAATAAATTCTAGCAAATTTTATAATTTTAAAAACTGTTTTTATTCAAATTCTAACATTATTTTTTGGGTTTCCCCATTAAAATACTAGTTGTAGCAGGTTCAATTACAGCTCCCATTTTGGTTTCCACTGCGGGCCTTATAAACCTCCTATAAGCCAATTCTGGTACAAAACTATTACCAATTGGAGTTCTTATGCTTGCTTCATAGTCTTTTACGGTTTTAAATGGAAATGGTACTTCAGAAACTAGATGAGGTTTAATTTTAGCAGCAGCTTTTTCGTTTATTATTAGAGAGCCCTTATTGTCATCTCTTCTAGGCATGGTTTCAGGCATTTTTATAATAAATCTTTTACGTTTTCTTTGTTTTTTTGGGTCTATGCCTGTTCCAGCCCACGAGCCCCAACCAGGAAGATTTAGGTCGATGTCTTGAGGTTTGTCTTGGTCCACTTCTTCTTGTTTGTCTTTTGCAAAATCTTCTACAATGTCATTGTCTTCAAATGCTTCCATGATGACATGTTTTTGGTTGTTATTATTTTCATTTTCAATTATCAATGATGGTAGGGCAGAATCTAGGTTGGTAACTTTTGGTTTCATGAACTTTTCAGGATCGATGTTGTTTGATTGGGTGTTTGAGTTGTCAAGATTGATAATGTTTTTTAAAGCATCTATGTTATTATTTGTATTATTGTTTGTTGTTTTATGGGTTGTTTCATTCATTTTTTCATCAATTATTTGTTTTTTGCTTTGAGAAGGCATGCTAAGGTCGATTTTTTTATTATTTTTAGTTGTAGCTTTTTTGTTTTTAGGTTTTAATTTATTTGTGACTTTGTTGCTTTTTGCCAATTTATTTTTTAGTTTTTCTGCAACTTTTTTTTCAGCTTGATCAAATATATCGTCAATGTCCCAATCACCTGACGAATTGTTTAATTTTTGCTGATTCTTTGGAACAACTTTATTTTTTTTTACTTTTTTCTTAATTTGTTTTACTTTTTCTTGCTTATCATTTATTACTATTTCTTCTATTTTATTATCTTGTTCATCATCATCATTTTGAATTATTGCTTCTTTATTCTTATTTTGTTCATTCCAAAATTGTTTGTAGCTACTAGTAAATTCACTAACTTCCTTATCAGGCTTAATAATCCAAGGATTATTACTGGAACTTTCTTCAATTTTAAGTTCTTCTTCTTCTGACTCGCTCTCCATATGTTTTTGTTTTTGAGTCAATTCTCTGCTTATTGCTAGTTGTTGGGCCAACACTTGTCTGCTCTGTAAAATAAAAATTATTTAAAAAATCAATTATTATATTCACTTATTATTACCTCTTTATCATATTTTGCTCTAACTTGCTTACTCTTAGCCCATTGTCCTGTACCCTTATGCCTCAAACTGAATCTCTCTAATGCTCTAGCCTTTTCAATTTCTTCAAGTTTCTTCAAAGCTGCTTCAGGATTTGTTTTTTGTAACTCTTCAAACTCCTTTAGTTGTTGTTTAATTCTTTCCTTCCTCAATATTCTATGGTATTTTTTACTTTTGATTTTATTCTGCCTCCTGGCTTTAGCTTCTTTGTAGCTTTGATGAGCCCTTAGCTTTGCTGCTTCTTGTCGTTTTTCCTTCAATTCTTCCAAAGTTAAAGGAAACTCATCATCTTTGTCATTTTCATCAATATTATAGACTTCAACTTTGTTTTCAAGTGATTCTAATTCTTTTTGTAAATCCGATTTGTATGTCCAGGTACTGGCAATGTCTGCAGCTTTTTTGGTTTCTACTTTTAAATTTTCTACGCTGTCCAATGGAAATACTTGATGTGCGGAGGCTCTGTTGGATGTTACAAAAGCTTCCCATCTATCAAATAAAAATCGGTTTTTTTCGTAACCCACAGAACGTCTTATCCTTTCTGCTTGAGGCTTTTCTAATGGTTTTGGTAAGGTGTGTGTCTTTTTTTTAGTTCTTTCAACTTTTTCGCCTACTTTTGCGTGTTTCTTACGGGTTTTTAATACCTTGGTTAAATCGTCTATTTGCAGCTGGCCCGTTACAGATTTGACCAAGTTGAATTCGGAAATCTGTAAAGTCGGTTCGGTACGAGAAGGCCTTTTTAGATTTTGAGCTTTATTCAAACTGAGGACGTTCTCGACGATTCTTGAGTGATTTGTATCGTCAACGTCGTCGTCTGTGAACTGGTAATCACTATCGTCACTCATTTTGCTTTAGAATTAAAGAAAATTAAAAATTTTGAAATGTATAAACACTAGCCCTCGTTTTTTTTTTTTTTGAGGTTATGATGATTTTATGTCACGTCACAATTTGACGATTGTTGTCAAATGGAAATAGAATAATCTGTTCGATAAATCGTGCCTGTTCTGCCTACTCTGAGTTGAATGGGATGGAGTCGGAACAAGGTTTTAAAGTAAAAGAGAGGGGTTTTGTCCATTGTTGGCAAATGAAAATGAAGTACGTTCAAAAAATTCGTTGTTTGGTTGTGTTTACGTTGCACTTAACTTGCTTGAACTGAATGCACATTTCAAATAATTCATTTTTCAATAGTGGCAACACTGAGTTGATCTGATCAACAGCTGATTATCTCGTTATTTCTTTTCAATTGTAGCCATTGAAAAGAAACAGATAGTAGCGATTTAATTAATGAAAACTTTCTCAAGGAAATTTTTGAAAAACCCCCTGCCTACAATCCATCGCAAATCGCAACCGCCCACTATTCTACAAGTTTAAAATTCTCTGGGTTTCACCCATTACCTTTTCCCATTTATAATTTTCCTATTTCTATTAAAGTTGAAACTCAGATAATAAAATAAAATAGGTTTTCACAATGAACAAGTGCCTTATTTTATTAATATTTCTGTTCTTACATAATTTTGTGGTAAGTAAAACCTAAAAATGCCAAATTTCCACTCAAAACAAGCTCGCTCCATGCAAATAACAACATTTTGGAGAGTTTTTGTGCATAAATATTGTGATATCAAACACTACTTTCAATTATTTACCCCCGAGCGTGCGAAAAGTGCACTTTACCGCACTTATTTTCAAGTGCAAAATAGCACTTTACCGCATATTGTATGGTAAAGAAAACTGCAAAATATGGATATCCTATTCACAATCTGTAATTCAAAGGTAATGGTAAATTTATCAGCTTTCCATATCAAATAGCATTGAAAAGTGATAAATTTCACCTTTACCTTTGGACATCGGATTGTGAATAGATAATAAAATAGTATACACTGGTTTTTGTTATCAAAAAACTCTTATTGTCTTTCAGAAATTTCAAAAATTCCTCTTTTTGTTGGTAGATGTTATTATAGATGCTTCGTAGGTAAAATTTTGTATCTACACATGCCTTTACCAGTGGCGACGCCAGGGGGGGGCCAGGGCATGAAAAAAGTCTACATCGAAAATATGACAAAATGTTATATGATATACCATACAAATATATACAGTGTGTCCCACTTTTCATAAATACACCCCGATATCTCAGTTATTAATAATGCGATTTTATTCAAATTTTGGTGGTGAGTGTATCTTAGAAAAATGAACTATTTGACACAGTAAACATTTTTATTTACCATTGGCGTGCGTGTTGGGGGGTGAAAAAGGGTTGTATTTTTGGGAAAAAGATATTAGGGCTTATTCTAGATAATTTTTTGCATCAGATTAAAATTCAGCATCCCCAAAAACCCCTTACTTCATATGTATTTGCCAAACAGCTTATTAGAGCATGTAAATTAAAATAAATTTATTAATTTTTTTGCTAAAATCATCTCGCAAGATTTTTAAAATATGAATTAAGGGGTTTTTGGGGACGCTGATTTTTAATCTGATACAAAAAATTATCTAAAATATGCCCTAATATCTTTTTCCCAAAAATACAACCCCTTTTTACCCCCCAACACCGCACGCCAAGGGTAAATAAAAATGTTTACTATGTCAAATACACACATCGTCAAAACTCTTGGCCCCCCTAGATATTTTCAAAAACAAAGAAGTTTAAGTTTTAAAACTTAGTGAAGTTTATTCTTTACTTCAACTCCAAAAAAAACAGACTATACATTTTTTTATTTACTTTCTATATAATGCAGTACAACAAAATAACGAAAAAATGGCAGAAATTCTTAAATTAAAAAATGATTTTTCTTCGACAAAAAATGTAATGGACTAACAAAAACATACTTCAGTAGTCTGTATGATCTCCTCTTCTTTCGATCAATTGACCAACACGTCTGGGCATCCCTCTAATCAGGTTATCAATATAATCTACCGCCATATTGTCCCATTCTTCTTGAACAGCTGCAATTAAGTCTTGAAGGGTTAGAGGGGGATTTTCTCGGTTGAATATTGCTTTGGAAATGTGATCCCATACATGTTCAATTGGATTCATGTCGGGAGAGTTTGCTGGCCAGTTCATTCTTCGGATATTTCCTTCCCGCAGCATGTTTTGTACCCTTTGTGTGCGATGTGGTGTGGCATTATCATCTTGAAAAATAAAATTTTCTCCAAATTCATTGCGCAAGGGCTGAATGATTGGTTCAATAATGTTTTCAGCATATATGGCACCTGTCATTCTTCGCTGAATAAGGATAAGTGGGGTACGGCGACCATACATTATACCGCCCCAAAACATAACTGTTCCACCTTGATAGGGAACAACTTCTCTGGCAAAAGCAAGTCGTTCTGCTCTACCCGGACCCCTCCAGACCCTGTGCCGCCGACTGTCACTTTGTAGACCAAATCGCGACTCATCCGAAAAAAGGACGTTGCGCCATTGAGGCAAGAGCCAATCTCTGTGTTCTTGGGACCATTGACGACGTGCAGCTCTATGTTGAGGTGTAAGCCTAGGCACCCTTAAAGGTCTTCTTGCCCTTAGATTTGAGGAATGTAGTCTTCTGCCTATGGTGCTTGTCGAAACTGCCCTTCGGTATGTGCGCAAAAAGTGACTTCGAAGGCCTGTTGCGGTTATTGTTCGGTTCCTTCGTGTGAAATTAGCCATATAATGATCTTCTCTCTCCGTTGTCACTCTGGGTCTGCCACTGATCGGCCTTCTTGTAACGCTACCACTTTCCAGGAAAAGGAGCAGAATGCGCCTTACTGAAGTTCTTGGGATATTAAAACGACGTGCAATAAGATGATTTGATAAACCTTCTTGATGTAGAGCCACTATTCTTGCTCGGTCGAACTGAGAGATTTGATTTCCTGGCATTTTTCTCAAAATTTAAATAAAACTGCATTACCCGTATTTACTTTTAAACTGTCTTAATTTAGAAACATCTGCATATTTTCTGAACAAGGCGGTTTTTTGCAATGATAATGTTTTTATGTTTTCAATAAGATAAAAAATGAATTTCACAAAAAAAATTATCTCCTTACTTTAAACAATTTAAAAGATAATAATGGGGGCCAAGACTTTTGACGAGGTGTGTAGTTCATTTTTCTAACATACAATCACCACCAAAACAGAGCTGGGCAGGGCTTGAGTGCTTTGTGCTTGCGAAAGTGCTTGAAGCACTTTGAGGACTTGAAAGCCCTGTGCTTCAAGCCCTTTTATAGATTTGTAATTGGGGCTTGCAAAGTCAATTACTTTAGAAAAGTGCTTGGTAATTTGTAATTGAAAAAAGTAATTCAAGCCTTCTCAATGAGCTTCAATTACTTTTAGAGGGCTTGAAGCACTTTTGGGAGCTTGAAGCCCTTTGAAAGGGCTTGAAGCACTTTAAGAGGGCTTGAAGCACTTTTGGGAGCTTGAAGCACTTTGAAAGGGTTTGAAGCACTTTAAGAGAGCTTGAAGCACTTTGAAAGGAATTTGAATTGACCATCATTAAACCTATCCCCCACTTAAAAATTTTCGATCGTGTTGTGTCCCTTAATTTTTTTTTCTATTATTTGAACTTGAACCGTCTTATGTCTTTTCTCTCTTAACAATGGAGGTTTTGGGTTTGAGCTTAGAATGGAGTTAAAAAAAAAAAATGAATGAACTTATTATTCAAATAAATAATTAATTTATATTGGTACCCTATTTAACTTTACCACTGGATTTTTTTCACATTTCCCCATTGAACATTTTGAAAACCTTAAAATTGAATTACCATGTAGTACCCCAACTACCCCAAGTACCCCAGAACTACATCTCAAAAAATAACATACTACTGCTACGCTGTGGAATGTAAAGTTCGTCTCTACTATACCAATTCTGTGTGATGAGTGTATGCAGTAGCTTATGCCACTTTGATAATTTTATTACAAATTCAAAGTGCTTTAGGTACATTTAAAGAGCTTCAAGCACATTTAAAGAGCTTGAAGCACATTTAAAGAGCTTGAAGCCCTTTTCAAGGCAGTCTTGATGTGCTTCAAGCACTTTTCAAATCACTTTAAGGGCTTTGTGCTTGTCAAGCCCAAAGCACTTTGAGGGCTTTGTGCTTGTGAAGCACTTTTGAAAATAAAAAGGAATTTGTGCTTGAAATTGAAGCACTTAGGGCTTAGTGCTTCAAGCCCTTTTACTGAGGGCTTTGCCCAGCTCTGCACCAAAATTTGAATAAAATCGCATCATTACTAACTGAGATATCAGGGTGTATTCATGAAAAGTGGGACACACTGTATATAATATGAATCTCGATAATATTGTTGATACTTTTGCTAAAAATCATAATAACCGAAGAATTTTACTGCTTCAAGTTTTAGGTTCCGGTAAGTAGTAGTTTTCCGTTTTCCGCACGCATTTCCGTGCTTAAAGTTACACTTTTTCGCACTCTGTGCGCATAAGGTCTTCATCCGCATTGAGTGCAAAAAAGTAAAACTAATTATCAAGCAACAATAAGTGCACCTTGTCGACTTTGACAAATGATGAAAAATGTTTCCTCTGTTTCTATATCATCTATACAAACTGGGTTTGCTTGCGGAAAATTAACACTTTGCGCACTTGTTAGGAAAATAACTATTTTTACTTGGATATGTCTTGCTGTTTTTTTTTTGTATGTTTCAATATACCTAGATAATTGAGGTTATTAAAGTTGATCTTTATCACCTATACCTACTTCTCTGTTTTTTATTACCTCAATATTACCATGCATAGCGTTTTTGATTTAAATTGATTAAAATAGGGTACCAAAGCAAAGCAATAAAGTAAAATCAAGTGTCCCCCCCTAAATTTTTCTGCCCCAGTCTGGCCCCCCTAATTTTTTCTGGCCCCCCCTAACATAAAACCCTGGCGTCGCCACTGGCCTTTACCAAGCGTGCGGTAAAGTATTACTTTGCGCCTTCG